AAACGTGAAGCAAAAAACCAGTCTAAATTTGTGTTCCAGTGTTGGCACAAAGCAGGTCTACAGCATAGAGCGGATCTACAGAACAGACCTACTGCCACATTTGGCTGAAGTTTGTCTAACAAAAGTGCACAGATGCATCTGTGTTTGTCACGATGTGCGTTTGGTTTGGTAAATGTGCAGAGGCTGGTAAATATCACTGCAAAACCAGAAAAGAATGTAACTCCAGTTTGGAACTTTAAAAAACAGGTTTAAAAATCTTCCTTCACTTTTTCCACAGTTTTGTGTAAAGTGCCAGAGGAAGTTCTCTTAAAGAAGAGGTTCTCAAACTGTGGGGGAGGGTCCAAAAAAGGGGCACAGAGTGTTTCAGTGCAGTTTGTTTGGCTTTGTATTAGGTAGATCATTCTGACTTGGTCATTTTGTAAGTAGCTCACATGCTGAAAAAGTGTGAACACCTCTGTTTTAGACGGTTTGTAAGAACCCAGGAAGTTGTAGATCACACACCGACCAATCAGCTGTGAGCTGTGAAGCCAATGACATCAAACTTATGGCGTCTGTCTGTGTCCCTTTTGTGGAACAGCACAACAGTAAACAAAGCATCGAGATGGATGTGGACAAAGACAGACATTCTGTGTTGGCGACGATTCCTGAGATCAAGCTGGAACAAAGAGAATGTTTAGTGAATTTTATCAAGAGAAAAGACGTTATTGTTCTTCTTCCTATGGGATTTGGTGCATTACATACGTCACGACCAAATAGCCGCTATTGATTAAATAAAAAAAGTACCAGTCTACCGTCGAACAAACGAATCCTAATACTGCGAGGTCAGATGGAGTGAAACTGTCTGATGAGCCAAAAATAAGAAGTGGTGCAAAGGCCAAAGGGCAGAAACTGACACGATCATTATTTGTTTGATTTTCTCCAGATTTCATCCATTATAAGAACACCTCACCAAGCTCGAGTCATCATGTGTTTGTTTGAAATGCTTTAGAAGAACTTTGGATATCCTCTTTAGTTCTGGTCAGGATCGTGCAGTGACACTTACAGTGAAACAGTTTGACACACAAGTGAAGTTTGCTGATGACACAGCAGTGGTGGGGCTCATCATGAACAACGATGAGTCCAACTACAGAAGGGAGGTCTGTCAGCTGGAGGCCTGCTGCAAAACTAACAATCTGTGCATCAATGTAAAGAAAACAAAGGAGATGATTGTGGATTTCCACAGGAAACCTATGCCCCTTCTCCTCTGTACATCAATGAAGATGCAGTGGAGATTGTTTCCTGTCTTAAATACCTGGGAGTCCAGATCCTGAACAGTCTCAGCTGGTCTAACAACACCAGTTGCACAGTGAAAAAGGGACACCAACGCCTAGACTTCCTTAGGCGCCTCAAAAAAGCAGGTGTGGGCCCCTCTGTCCTGAAGGTCTTTTACAGGTGTGTGGTGGAGAACATCCTCACCACCAACATGACTGTGTGGTTCAGCAGCAGCACCAGGGCACACAGCAAAAAGTGGAATGTTAAAATTGACTCTCACAGAGTTAATTTTAACATTTTCTCAGAGTCTATATAACTCCAATCTGTTCTAGAGTTAATTTAACACTTTTGGAAATGTTAATTAAGTAACACTGGACCAAAGTTACTGTTTAACCCCAAAATCAAGAGTTAAATTCCTCTGATGTGTTGGGCCTCCTTGAGTTCAGTCAACATGTCTGTCCGGTGGCTGTGGAGTCATTTGCCTTTTCCGCCTTTGGACCATCTTCAGCCGCCATGAGATGTACCTGATCCACCCACAGCATCATAGAAGTGCTCCTTAAAAGTAAAAAGGATGCCATACAACTTAATGTTGAATGTTAACACAATTTACATTGCTTAGAAAGCAAAATAATTCTTCCATAGCCTTTCTTGGCATATGGATCTTTGAGAGAAGGAAACACCATCACAATCCCAAGGGCAGACTGTTCCCGGGGACTTAGAGGGGAAGTTACTGAAACAGGAATTCAACTTATTAGAGACGTTAAGAATCATTTATTCAATTTTGTGAACAAATACAGAAACATACCCATGGTGTTGAATCATGTGAGAAACCAGTTTATTAACCAACTTCCTTCTTGTAGTGTGACTTTGGGTTTCTGTTGTTTGTTGTTCCTTTAGCACTTCTTCACCACCAGCTTTTTCTTTTAAAGCTGCTTCTATTATCTGTCAAAAAGAGAAACATATGTTACTGAGAGCTACAACATACAACATACACCAGACAGACACACACCAGTTTAGCAAATAAAAAAAGGATTTAAAAGCTTATTTAAAATATGCAGGATAGAATACTGTCCTTGACATAAGCAAAGAGCTAAAAGACCCTGGGTTATAGTTACGTCTGCTAGCAATTTCTTTGATAAAGAATTCAACCTATACAGTTATAATTGTAATTCTAATTAGTGAAGAAAATACAAATATTGTCTATATAGTTTAAATGAAATTGCACTTACCAAAAAGAGCTGCATGTAAAAGTGAAAAATCCACTGTGTCTGTCTGGTTCAAACTGGTTCAAACTGGTTCAAACTGGTTCAAACTGGTTCAAACTGGTCTTCTGTGGCGGGAATTTGCAGTGATGGGCGGTGCCGAGTTAACACTCGGGGAAGTTGAAATAACACTAACAGAAGTTGAATTAACTCTGGCAAATAACCCCAACTCTAACTCCCATTTAACTTTCAAATAGTTAAAATAACACTTTCTGTGTTAAAAACAACTCTGAAATATTTTACCCTGAAATTTTAACTCTCCAGTTTTTGCTGTGTAGACCTGGTTTAGTCCTGGTTTAGTCCTGTTTTAGTCCCAGTTTAGTCCTGGTTTTAGACCTGGTTTAAATCTAGTTTAGGTCTAGTTTAGACCTGGTTTTAGTCCTGGTTTAGTCCTGTTTTAGTCCTGGTTTAGCTCTAGGTTAGACCTGGTTTAGACCTGGTTTTAGTCCTGGCTTAGATCTAGTTTAGACCTGGTTTTAGTCCTGGTTTAGCTCTAGTTTAGACCTGGTTTAATTTCTGGAAATGAGTGGTATTACCGAAAAAACAGGAAAATCCCGCCGTGTAATCCATTTATTTCAACAAAGTAATTGTAATCCAATTACCACTCACTGAAACAGTAACTGTAACTGAATACAGTTACTCATAATTTGTACTCTGATTATGTAACTCCAGTACATGTAATCTGTTACTCCCCAACACTGGTTAAGACCCTGAGCCAAGGTCACAACAAAAAGACGGAGAGCAGAGGTTGGATTTTAAAATAAGATACATTTATGAACTAAATCCCAAACACAAGACACACTGTTTCTGCCTTTTGCCTTTGCATGAAAACTTCTTTTTGTCTCCTGATACAAAGGCAGAGAACAGGAACTCACAAAGGGTCAAAGGTCAATGTTGAGCTCAATATTTTTCAAGATATTTCCTCACATGATAAAGGAGCTCTCACATCCAAACAAAATGACATGAACTCATTTTTGATCAAACATGAGGTTCATAACATGTAGTGAATAACACGCTTTACACCAAAAAGAAAACAGTTTTTAAAAGTACATAAAAAAAACAACAACAAGACAATCAGGCAGAATATCATAATTATAAAAGCAGGTTAAAAACAGAGAGAGCGGTGACAATTTTTCAATGTAAAGTCAATTGAAACCAGAGCAGTGATGGGAAGGTGACTTTTAAAATGTATTTCCCTACAGATTACAGATTACATACTCCAAAATGTAGTTTGTAACGTAATCCATTAAATTACTTAAAATGAGTAACGTAATCTGAATACTTTGGATTACTTGATTTGATGTAGAGAAGCAAAGACTCGGATATTTAACCGTATTAAAAATATTATTGATAGAAGAAGAGGAGACACGTCCACGCAGCATGATTTAGTCCTGTTAAATCCTGTTTTAGCCCTGGTTTAGTCCTGGTTTAGATCTAGTTTAGACCTGGTTTAGATCTAGTTTAGACCTTGTTTTAGTCCTGGTTTAGATCTAGTTCAGACTTGGTTTTAGTACTGGTTCAGACTTGGTTTTAGTCCTGGTTTAGATCTAGTTTAGTCCTGGTTTAGATCTAGTTTAGACCTGGTTTTAGTCCTGGTTTAGACCTGGTTTAATTTCCCGCAATGAGTGGAATTACCTAAAAATAAAAAAAATAAAATAAAAATATTGTAAAAAGAGGAAAATCCCGCCGTGTAATCCATTTATTTCAACAAAGTAACTGTAATCCAATTACCACTCACTGTGGGGGTCCAGCAAGTGTGAGAAGGAGGATGAGGTCCGGTTATGGAGGGATTTGAAAGTATAACGTGGAGGACTGGAGGAGGTTCTGGAGGACAGGGAGCCCATGGAGGTTCTGGAGGACAGAGGTGACGTAGGAGGACCCGGGCAGAGCAGTTTTCAAGGCACTGCCGTTTACTGGAACGCGAGAAAGACAGAAGAACGGAGACAGAGAGCAGGGCAGAGAAAGTGTAAAGGTCTAGAGTGGACACACAGAGACAGAGCGATTGTGCGGAGAGCAGATTAGAGAGAGTGAGAGAAGGTTTAAAAGAAGAGGGAGGGAGAGAGCTGTTTACTGTTTACACACGCTGTGAGCCTGTAATGAGAGGATTTCAAGTGTGTTTATTATACAATGATATAATCTGCTGTTTGGGTTCTCAAAAAGTGAAATAAACCCAGCAAATAAAATACAGGAGAAAAGAGTTTTAATGATTAGTTACGTTACTCCGAGTTAAACAGACCTAAAGGAGCTTGTCATTGCTCCACAGCTCAAACCTAAGCCCGACTTTTGAAGCTCGAAGTGTTGAGGCCAGCGCGTTGGACATATCGTCTGCTTCGGTTCGTTCGTTAACCCGTCCAGAGTTGTTTGGTGTAGGATTTGCGCGTTGTTTGATAAATATATTGATACGATGCAAGCGAATGATCTTTTATTTGTATTGTCAGCCATGCAGTGCGGATTAACCGATGTACTCCATATGAGAAAAACAAACTTGAGATGAATTATAAATTATAGACCGTGCTTTCAATCAGTACAAGAGCTTTGTTTTGAGTCTGCTAATGTATACTGTATTCTCCAGGCGATTAGGCGCTCTGGATTATAAGGCGCACTGTCATTAAATGCTCTATTTTTGAACTTTTTTCACATATAAACTGGACTTTAAACGAAACACCCCATATGGAAAAGGTAGAGACAAATCATACACCATTTGAACATGTTTTATCTGAATCCTACAAGATTTGTATATGACAGTGAAAACAGTTGCAAGATCTTTGGTAAATATGGCTACGTTCAGATTGCAGGGCTTAATGCACAAGATTTTTTTTTAGAACTAGTTTAGACCTGGTTTTAGACCTGGTTTAGTCCTAGTTTAGTCTTGGTTTAGTCCTGGTTTAGTCTTGGTTTAGTCCTGGTTTAGACCTGGTTTAGTGTCCAGCAATGAGTGGAATTATTGAAAAAAAACAAAAAAAACAAACAGGAAAATACCAATGTGTAATCCATTTATTTCAACAAAGTAACTGTAATCCAAGTATCACTCACTGAAACAGTAACTGTAACTGAATACAGTTACTCATCATTTGTACTCTGATTATGTAACTCCGGTACATGTAATCTGTTACTCCCCAACACTGGATGTGAAAAGATTTTTACTCTGCATAATCCTGTAGCTGCTCTCCTTGTTGCCTCTACAGGTACCACAGTAACTGTCCTCAACATCTCCTATTGTTCCGTTCATCAGTAGTAGCTGGTCAGTTCAACCGGAAAATCACTGGAGCTTCACATGGTCGACCTGGGTTCAAATCCCCTTCAGACTCTGGTTGTTTTCTCTGAAACATAATTAAATAATACAAACATTACATGGAACATACAAAGAAAATGTAGTTGATCATGCACATTACCTGTAAATGTCATGCAAAATGTTCACTTTATCTTTACTAGTTTTTCATAATATAGTTTTATAAGAAAAATGTAAAAGGGGGAAACACTTTCAGGAGTAAAACACACATGACACATATGAACCTTATATAAAGATTTACTACAAAGACACTGGTAAATTCTTATTTATTTATTTTTTTCCAGTTTTTTTCCATATGGGACAACAGTTGGATGTATCAGTGGGACTGAGTGGCTAGCACTCATGCCTCATAGCAAGAAGGATCTGGGTTTGATCCCCGGGGCGTCCTGGCCTTTCTGTGTGGAGTTTGCATGTTTCTGCCTGTGGCTGGATGTGTTTCCTCCATCAGCCCAAAACACACAGGTCTCCATGAACAGTTTATAATCAAGGTCCGTTAAATTCAATCATTGTGTGCAAGTCATTCACCCACGTTGACTAGTATGAAAGTGGTGAGTGATGGTGATGGACAGAGGCACTGATTGGCATGGCAGCTGCATTTCTGTCAGTATGCCCCAGGGCAGCTGTAGCTACAATAGTAGTTTACTGTCACCAGGGTGACAGTGAATGAATAATGCTCTGTAAAGTGTCTTTTGGGACAGAAAATTTCTGTGAAAAGCGCTATATAAATACTTACTTTGTTTGTTTGTTCACGGTGACTCTGGGCTTTGTTCAGTTGTGGCGTGTAGGGAGGGTGTGTCTGGGACCAACGGATTGTCGGCGTGTTCACAGTGACTCAGTTGTTCAGTTGTGTCTAGAAGTGGCACATTGGACTCACTTTTTCGGTTCATTCCTCCGTTCCGTTCCTCGCCGGTGTGGAGTGATGAGTGTGTCTGTGGGTGTGGTCTCTGTTTGCTCCGTGTGTGTTTGTGTGTCTGTGGGTGGTGTGGCTTTGTAGTTTACTGAAGTTGTG